TTTTCCAGCTTTTGTTTTCAGGGCCAACGATGCTATTTGTAGAACCCATCGATTCAGACAAACATCATGATCCACTTGGCTCTTAACCTCCCCGACACGATCGATCTCTTTGCAGCAAATGCATTCTTCTGCTTTAATTACCGCTTCTATCGAACAGTGCGAACATTTACACCTGTAATGGCAAAAATTATTGACTGAAATGTCACGTTTCACTGCTTACAAAACAAGTATATCTTTTGCAAGTTTCATATGTTTCGGATCAATAAAAAGCAGTAAGTATCACAAAGTTTGGACTAATAGCTCAATGATAGTTGATTAAGCAATACATACCATGTATTGGTCTCGACCTCGCCAGCAAAGCGGCGCTGATACATGGCATGTTCTTCTTCTTCGCGCGCGAAATTTTCGTCATAAGCTGCGGCCTCTTCTTGGGTCGCTACCGGCTCTAAATTCTCATCGTATGGAATAAATTCCCCTTCAGTTACTTCAGGGACGTCTTCATTCATAGAAAAACTCAATTCTGAGTCATTATCGGAAGGAAGAGAAGGAGAACTCGAGCGCCAAGACATGCTTTTTTCCCCTCTATTTTCCTTCTTCACATTTCTTTAGCTATATCACGTGTTGTGACTATGACGTCACAGAGAAACCCGCTGTAGTGATTTCGCGGGCTCTTCAGGTTTGTTGTTCGAGCAATGGCGGACGTGATTTTACGGTTTTCTGATGCTTGTTTAACAGAATTGCGTGGCTAGATTGCAAAACGTTTCGCCGATTAAAGAAACTTAGGGTTTAAATAAGAAATTACCGAAAGAAAAACCGGAAAAGAAAATACGAAATTTTCGTCGCAGTAGCACTATAAAGGCAAAAAGTGTTCAAAATTTCGCAGATGTGCCTTGCTGCACGACCGCATGTTCAAATTAATTCTTCATGCTAAAGCAAAAGCTCTGAGTTTCTGCCGACCACTTTTGCAATCATTTTATCAGCTGTGGCTTTACCGATCGTTCCAAAAGTTGAATTCAACTTTGAAGCAATAATGTATGTTACTATTTTTGCTTCTTCAGTCCAGGAAGCTGCTTTAAAGTGCCACTAATCCCCCAAATTTTATTTCACTAATATAAATTTCCTTTTTCTTCTGATCACCACTGTGAAAAAATTATTGTTATAGCTATTTTCGTTAATTTTGTAGTAATTTTCAAAGTTTGTAAAATGGCCCTTTTCTATGTTCACGACCGAGGAATAGCGCAATTAATCGAGAATTCGATTAATTGTTACACCACTCTTTTGAATACAGAATTGTTTTGTTCTTTGAGCTTCATCTTTGAGGAACGAAATATATCTAAATTACAAACTTAGAACAGACCAAGCATTCATAAATATATGAGGAAAGTGAAACAAACGATTAAGATTCAACTCTATAGCTATCGACGGAGATTGTTGTGCTGAAACAAGAATGTGCTTATAATAAAGTGTATTATCGTTTGTCTCACGATGTAGTCACTAGAGATGTAGATCGCGACTTTTCGACTGCTTACTGCTAGCCTTCTTCAGGCGATAAGGTCGACTGATTGCA